GCTCCTGACCTAGATATCATGCTAAAGCCAATACTAAATCAGATAAGGTTACATGACATTGGCATGGGATGATAATCACGACGCCTGCCCTTGAACACTAACTTTTGTTAAAACAATGATACGTCTGTAAATTGGCGGAACGCGTGTTACTTTGTTCCAGCGAAACAAATATATTTACTTGACAATTCTCGGGTGAAGTAGATCAGGGCTAACGATTTCCGAACTTCTTAAATCCCGCGATTTCAAGCTTAAGGTACCAGGGGTACTTTTACCAAATTCCTCCGGGTGTTCCTGGCTGTGGAAATACCCCAGATGCTGCCGGGTTACAAACCAGTAAAAAAGATAAGGAATTTTCTATAAAACCACGTAAACACACTTCTCTAAATGGTTAACTCTTCGAACGACAAATTCACACGCGTTCCATCTAGGAGCGTTGACACAACGGCGTCTCAGAGCTGGCATCGGCCGATCGCACTCGGCTACCGTTAGGCTGCAGTGACCTCAGCTGCTCGTCTGATATTGTGCGTGACGTTTTCTGGCGGTGTTTCTCAATTGCTCGTGACGGCTGGCAACACTCACTTTTACGGGCAAAAACAGGTAATTGATGTGCGGTGGAACTGGAACCCCACTCAGCGCACGCGGCGCGGCTTTTAGGTTGCGAAAAGCGTGGCGCCGTCATCTAGCCTAATGTTCTTTTCCTCATACGGGAAAGCCATGTGTAAGGTGCCGAGCATTTATTTGGAGTGATGGAAAATGCCGTACATTACTGCAAGGTCCAGGAGGCGAAAGGATACGTCCGGTATTGCTAAAGACAACGGCCGAGTTGCTCACTCATTCATCAGGCCTCGTAGCTGTGGCTAATAAATAATACTGCGGCTCCTTACAAGCGTGTGTTTTGAAGAAAAAAAAATGTCATAATTTTTCATCCAGCCCGCACGCGGCCGCGGTTTGTTGCAAGTGTACACATATACGGATACCTCCGCTACACAGCGCTCTATCCAGCCCTGTCTGGATTCCGTAGTGTGCGCTTGCGTGGTCATAACGCGTGATGCTAGACATGTCGGGCGCATTCTTTTTCACGTCTTTTTGTGCACCTTCAAACACGAAGGAGTAATCTCCAACTTGAAAAAATTACATAATAGTCACGCATCCATTAATGCCGGGCTGATCAAATGATCTGATCGGTGCAAGGGACGAAAGGTTTTGTTCCTGACCTAATGCATCGCGAGGACATTGTAAGAGGAATTATGGCATGGTAAGTCCCAATCCTGGGATAGCGCCATTGTCGGTTTCATGTTTCCATTCCATGAAGCAATTTCAGCTGCAGGTTGATTCATTTTCACAGCTTGAGCAGCCTTACCGGGGCGTGTATTGCTTTAATGACGTTGCGAGCCAGCCCAAGCCACAGTAATTGCGAAACAAATTGGCTGGGAATGAAACCAAGTGCACTTACTTTAAATTCATGCGCCAGTGAGGGCACAACTGCAAATTGACCGGCTCTTGCGTATTTGGCAGCTGAACACCATTGTTTGGCTGTAAAAGGATTGCAATATTTTCCGTCTAAAATTATGTTTCCGGCGCTGGTTTCAACACCAACGTGGATAGATTGCAAAATGTATTTGACAGACATTTGCTTAAGGTACTGATCTCCATATCCGCGATATGTGACAAGTAATGCGGAAGAATTTCATGCAACTTGGGAACAGAAATATTTTGTAGCTCAAACCGTCAACATCAGCGATAAATCTTGGTCTGGAAGCATATCCTCTTCTCTTGAAATTAACCTTTCTAAATGGAATATTTCCACCTCTGGTTCTTATATTTTTGCTTACAAAAACTGGCTTAACAGGGCAATAATGATTTATTAGCCGCAAATTTGACAACCCATTTCTCACTTCTGCCACCAGAATCGACATACCAATAGAACGAAGGATGCGGGTGCCACTACGGAATCTTTCAACCATGACTTTTTGTAAAATGTCAGCACGGAACGACCTTGAACATCATATCAGGGCGGCAATCAGCAATTCTAAATTACAGCCGTGTGATCCAGGTATCCCGAATCATCAAAGAAACGCATTGCAGAATGCTAGCTGTTTGGTAAACAAAGCCGAGCCCAGCAAATAGGCCAAGGGTTCGTGTCAGATAAATATCTAAAATAAAACAACCGCTTGGCATGCATCCCTTCCGTTTCCCAGAACTTGCGAACAGATGCCGCGTTGTGTGTGTAAAAATGTAGCAGACACAACATACCAGTAAATAACTTGAACGGAAGTCTCTTGGTATAAGTTCCGATACTTAACAAACTTTATAGTTGTGTGCACGGGTCGGATAAAATTTTGTGGCCAAGATATCAGGTTTTATTTCATGCATCGCCATGTTCACTTAAGTGACTGTATGTTTACCTGTATGTGTAACTTCTAAGCATTCTCGTTGAATGGCGCACGCTCCGTAAATTATCAGCTTGTCTGTGCGCGTTCTTTGCGGTAGCATGCTAGCGCTCGGTGTGGGCGCTGCGTTGTGTGTTTGTTTACACCCTGCCATGCTCGTGTCTCTATTTCCTTGCATTCCTACTGGCTCGCCTGTCTTAAAGTGGTTACCCGTATCATGGGCACCAACGCACCAATCCGTCTGTCTGCTTGGTTGCCTGTCGAGCTGACCGTCGGCACCAATCGGCACCAATCCGGCTGCTTCAGGCGCGACTTTCCTAACGCGCACTCCGGCCGCGCCGCGCCTTGTCGCAGCCGCGCCGGCTCTGTCTCCCGCCCGCGCCACTGGCCCAGCCCGAGCGCTGACCCACTACCTCCGATGTGAATTCAACCCGAACGGAGCGACGACGGCGCCGGGCAAAGACGAAAGCGAGAGGCCGCTGGAAGACGGGAGCGAGCAGCGCGGAGAGCGGGTAGGGGTCGGAGGACGCGAGAACGGGCGCCGACGCCGCCCAAGCTGGAGAAGAGCGTGCGTGATGGCAGGCTGAGCGGCTGGATGAGTGGCAGAAGGATCGCGTGGAGCGAGCACAGTATGGTCGTGAGCACCGATCAGAGCAAGATAAGCGGCATGCAATAAGTTCGGGAGGCGCTTGCGACTCTGCAGATGTGAGTCTCATGCTGAGAAGATGTAACGGACAAGGCTTGGACGCTAACAGGCTGGATTACTTGGGTGCGCTGCGATAGAGTAACGGATATCATCCGAATATACTTAACGTGGCATTATGGTTGCAAAATGTATTATGTGTGACGTATCAAGCATTATAAGCAATCTTCGAGTTCTCTATTCATATCGTGCATCTTAGTGACCGTTCATGGAGCAGCCTATTACATAGCTCCTCCATTGTCAGGCTTGACGTATATCATTATGGAAAACTTCTACCACTATTCGGTTTACATATTCCTAAACCACTAACCGATTGCCCTAGCTTTCAAAGGACCGGCCGTCAGTGGCTTGTATAGGCCTGACATTGCTGTCGTACAGTTTCTAACAAGCGGGTCTGTTTTTGTGCGTGGACTGGTCTGTTGTAATTGGGATCGCGGCGTCGGAGAAACCTCAAAGAAGTCTCGGGGTCAGGACCAGTTGAAAGGTTTACAACGCAGTTTCACTGAACCCTTGATCAATGTTGTGCGCACTGCAGCCACCGCCGGGGCGACTTTCTCAGCTAAAACGGCTGTACGGGCCACAATGGTTCCGCCCAGCTCTCCCAACGCTAATTTAGATGGGAGATTGTCATAGCCTCGCGCGGTGTTCGCTGAATTGTGGTCCGCACAGGCCCAGCGGGAATTAAATCAAGGCTAATCATCTGACGGGTTCCCGCTCCGAGCCCACAGGCACCACACACACACAGGCACGCGCACATAGTGCGCAGTACCCTGACCTTAAGCTTTGTATTGGATTATTTTGGCACGCTTGCTGGACAGCATTTGACCGAGCAGCGAGTGCGTGGTCACCTTCTGAGGCCTCGAACATTGTAGCAGCGCGCTTCAAATTGGGAATTCACTCAATGTCAACGTGACTTTCCACGACGTAATCGCTATGTTGGCATGGGTAATGCATGGCCTCTGGCGATCGTGTCGGAATTTTAGCTTTTCATTGCCGTTACGATTATCTCGGCGCCGCAGTGGAGTTTTGCAGCAGCCTCTGCAGGCATACATGACGGTGCCGAAGGGCGACAACTTTCCTCCGACGTTCGAAATGTCCCTAATCTGGGGCTAACAGCTCAGCGACTTGTATCAGCTGTTGAAATGCAGTGACTCGTGCGCAGGTTCGACAGAAATAGACAGAGACCGCGCCGGTATCAAGAACCCTGGCTCCGTTGCTCTGCATGAGGGGTTCTGCTTCAGCGACTGGGCTTTTGGGACGCATAACGCCCACAAGGTTGCTTTGGTCTGTGAGCGTTGAACAAAGAAAATGTGGCGAACGCTATGAAAATGTCATCCTTCTGGAAGTGCTTTAACAGCCGAACACGGGGAGCCATGCGTCGGGCTCAGCATCTTTCCCAGGGCTAGACCGGCACGACCAATGTCCCCGACTGTCGACAATACGGTGCTGCTGCAACCTTCCTCCCGCGCCGACCCCCTTCGTGCCGCGACCCGCGACACCCTCAGCAGGGCCGGCGTGGGCGGGGTGGGTGGGTGGAAGGGAGCCCCGCCCTCCCGCCCCGACGGTCGGCAGGAGTTTCGGCAACACGATGGGGAAACAGACCAGCCGGGCCGGCGGCTTATTTCGTGACCGGTGGCCGGTTCCAGCGGCGATAGGTCTTGGTGACAGAGTGTCCAGACCAGACTCAATCTGGGCACGGCACACGGTCATCAGACCGCTGGCCACCAGCGTACGCGTCAGAAATTCTTTCACGAGCCCCGGGCGCGTTGTTCAAAACACCTGGCGTCGCCAACGCGGGAGCGTAGCCGCTGTCTGCGACAGAGGGAGAGAGGCGCCCGCCAGCCGTCTCGCGCAAAGCCCCGCCTGACCTAGTTCCGCGCGGCCGCCGCCGCCGCGTTTGGACTCACCATGGTGTGTGCTCGGTGTGAGCTCCTGTCCGAGACGGGCGCCTCGCTCTCCACTCGACACCTCGCCGCCTCCCGCGCCTCGCGCTGGCTGGCTCAAGATCGACTGCACGCAGCTGGCTGCGCCGCACCACTGTCCAACCGGCGCGCGCTGTCCCTTCACTGCTGCCGCCGCCGTCGCCGCCGCCGCCGGGGCAGCGGTCGCCGGGTACAGTCTCTGGCGCAGGTCGAGGACGCGGCGCCGCCGGCGACGGCGGGTCACGGGACGTGGTGGGGTGGGGTTGCCGACCAGAGAGTGGACCGGCGGAAGGTGGGCGTGGTGGCAGAGCAACGCCGTGATGACAGGGAGACGGCGTCATGACTGATGAGTGAATCTCGATTGATAAAGTAGTTAAAGATTGGAGTCAGGTCCGCTTTACGTGTCCAGAACGAGGTACATGCCACGTGTTACCAGCAGAGTTCATCCTGCTTGTTAAGTGTTTATGATTCTTTGGCCGAGTTCTGGCCTTGTCATGAAGCTGTGTCCGAGCCTGTTTTCAACACTTTTGCCACCCGCGTGCTCTTACGGAGTGATGCTTGACTGGTAGCCCAGAGATACTGGGTACGCTTCCCAGGGCAGTGGTATTGTTTGACTCCACTACCACAGTAAGGTGAGCTGCAAACCTGCGCACGAGAGCCGGCCCGGGCCCGGACGGCCCTGCTGCACCATTGCGCGATGAGTAAAACCCTGTGCAGTTCTGGTTGGCGATAGGATGGAGACAAGCTTACCCAATGGGCAGCACAGATTGAGACGTTGGCTCAGGGTGCAAACGAAAGACTTTGCTCGGCGAGCACTGTAAACCAAACGCTACTCGGGGTAATCATTTGCAATAAAACATGGAAAAATAGCACTTTTATGAGCTAATTTCGTTCCTGTTCATGGTCAGCAATAATAACTTTGTCTAGGCACTGCACGCGTGCATACAGATACACGCAGCGCGTGTTAATTTTTCGCAACAGGTTCGTGCCCAATTTATCACGTGCAATGAGTGGCAACTTATCTCACAACGTCGGTGATGTTATGAATAGATGATGTACGTTCTATGCAGTCGAGTCCCGAGCCTCTAGTATATCTGCATGTCAGTCGTGCTGTCCAGTTAATGTGTGTATTACTCAGGGCGTGTGCCATAAGAAACGCCCGGGTCCGACTTATTGCTCATCCGCGTGAGATACTTCCACGATCTTTCATATCTCGCTTCAGTTAGATATACGTGGGCAGGCACAGCCCCAGCTTGATAGGAGATAAGTTGAGATAAAAGTATATGACCACTGCTGTTCAACAGCTCGACTTCAACTCCCACAGATCGCAACGGATTATAGGGTCATCAACACCTCATATTCGTGAACGAATACAAGAGAAAATGCATGCCTCTTTTTGTGCCTCGTGCTAACATGCATATCCATTTGCCTTATACATGTGGCTACAATACGTGCCGCTTTCGGCTACCAAGCGTGTTGGTACCGGTGGTGTAATATTCTGTATTATTCTTGTTTTGTATCAAACCTTTCAAGGTCTTGGCGGGGAAGCGCGAAGAAGCTCACCACGGGTCATCGTAAATATCACTTCCATGGTGGCTGTCAGGGCAAGAGGCACATCCCAGGCAAATATGAAACTTGTGTTCCTGCGCGACCTGGTTTGACTCTTCGCATTCCTTGCTTAGAAATTCGGGATGGGTTGACTGCAATACCGGACCAACGCGAAATCTCTTAACGCCAAGCACAGGTCAGCAGTACCAAGACAGCCATCTGCGTGCATTCACTTTCAAAAGCGACAAAACTTACCTGAGAGACATGTTTGCCCATGGTCGCGTGAAACCCGGTGCCAGATCAGTCAATGAGATCCGGATTAATCTTGCTTCGGATATCACCTGATAAAGCTTTCGTATTACATTCCAGTGATTATCGCACAGTTCCGGTAACGAAATAAATATGATGAAGCGCTGAGCTGCCCCGAGACTGTCGCATGCACAAACCACATCACTGTTATCCGGTGATTCCTAACTTGTAGACAACCATTCAGAAAGCGCTAAGGTAATCTAAAAACTTACAAGTCCCTCTGCCCATGTGAACACGTAACGTGAAAGGTCTACAAGGAGCACGATGAACTAAGCAAAACTGCCTCGTTTTCAAGAGAGGCGTTTATATCTATACATATATACAACTCTTGAGCTACTAGGTGGTGAGCGGTGAGCACTTCTGATGTGATTGTGGCAATAGTGTTCCCATGATGAGTGTTTCTTATATATATATATATATATATATATATATATATATATATATATATAAGCGAATTGTACCACTTTGTTGAATCTTGCCCACAATCAATTTACCAAACGGGGACTTTCCATCGCATGGACAGCTCAGCACACTAACAGCAGGAGTCAAAGTAGATGCCTCCGTATCCGTACACAAACACCCATTCGCCCTCATCTCGGTGCGTTTCGCAAAAAGTAACTGAAAGTGACTGTGGCCTTTTGCGTCATCCTTTCACCTTGATAACTAGGTGTTGTGTCTCAAGCGTTGCAAAGGCTCGGGGTTCCCGCGATGAACTAGATGCCTGCAAAATAGTTCCTGAGCTTTGCCAGATTTCTGTGTATAACTTTAGCCATGCCGTCATCATGAACCTACGAGCGTTACTAGTCGCACGGGTTCAAGGTTTTAATTAGCCTGGATGTGGTCCGAGCGCCCAGTGGCGCTGGCTGCGCAGACCGTGTAGCACAAGCAAGATAAAAGGCCGTGTCTGGCATATTCGCACGACCTTTCATGTCTGTTCCCGATTACATCTACATTTACGACCACATCTGGGCTGCAGATCCATTGATAAGAGATACGCCTGAGACATGGAAAGCAAGGCCGTTGCTGCTCACCAAGCAGACTGGAATACTCGCAAGTCGCGACGGAGTTGAGAACGCTTGGCTATAAGTTTCGGTAAACGAGTGCGAAAGAAGACAGCCATAGGGACAGAAACTTGCATCCTCAGCTGCCATGGAAGTGTGCTTGACGGAAGTAAAGCTCATTCTAAATTTCTGCTGGCCACTGATACGCAAAAGCAATCATACTTAAATTAAGTAGTCACTGCCAGACTAGTCTCCTTTCCATTAGCTAGTAAGCTATGAGGCTTGAAGGACACGTCAGCTATTTGTGTCAGTTTCAGTTAATGGCTATTTGCTCCAATTCTATTTGTGTCAGTTGATTTCCGCGAATCAAATTTCCGAAGCAATATACGAGCACATAAGCATTCTGAAAATTGGTAGCCTAAACGGAACCATTTTTGATACCGTCGCATGTGCAAAACGCACCACTGGTATGCATCAACCCACGCCGTGCGAGTGGTCGCTCACACCAGGCGTCAAAGCAACCTAAAAAAGCACGTCGTTTTGCCCATGCAGAATAGGTGACCTCACAGGCTGGACAAACCCAGGAGCACCCATATGAAAAGAAAACAGGGTGGTATAGATATATACTTCTGAAAAATGAATGGTATGGGTACTGGTATGGGTACGCCATTTACAAAATGGCGGATGGATGCTTCCAGAAATGCTACATAAAGCTGCTGCTTCCTCCTCTTTTGGTCATAGATAGCTCCTTGCACACTAGTTTCACAAGTATCGACTCAACAGAGTAAGCTCAGGTATAAATATTCCTGCATCTTTCCTGAGAAAACCGACTCAGGAAGCACAATTTATACCATTTAATGTAATCGTGGAAGACGAGCAGTTTAACCCAGAGTAGACTTCCCTCACAATTTACGGTCCAGCACAATATTGGTGGGAGCCAAATGAATTAGTAAAAGTCACAGTGGTCATCGGTATCATCCTTTCCCTACCATAATTAGTGACGTAGCCCAAAACGTTGAGAGCGTTGAGAACAATGCCCGTTTCCGTTAAGGGCTTGAACCCGGCAAGATTGTGCGGCAGCTTTGACAGACTTCCGGGTAAGTGCACCACTATTCTGTATGTGTTCACGGACAATGTGAAGAACGGAGCGCAGATATTTTCACAGGCTGCTCGCTGCACCGTGCAACAGGCCTTGAAAGGGTTTGCTTGGATCATTTGGCTGACTGGTGCAGGTGAATGCCTTCGTTATTGGTGTGTAGAACGCGAAAGTGACTGTAATCTGGTGAGAGCCAGGTAGCGTGTGCAGTTTGAAAATCGTGCATGAAGTTTGTAATAGTGACAGCTTAGGTTAGTGGTAGCTATGCAGCTGCATGTAGTTAACTATCTACGTGACATGCTATTTGTATCACATACCATTAAGTGTGCAACTCTGAAAGAGACACTAAGATAGTGCGGGTAGCTTTGTAATCACTTTCAAGACCATGAATGCAACTTGCCTTGCTATTTGCTCCGGCATTACGCCATACCCTGGCTGACACAATGAAGGACAAATTATGCTAAACTGAAAACCGGATCACCACTGTTAGGACCACTCGTGCCGGAACGAACGGTTGAGGTTTGAGAAAACAATTCACAAATGTGTCAAATCTGGCCACATTAGTTGTTCGTTAGCCAGTCCGCCAGCCGTTACTGGTTAGCTGCGCACTCGAGAACACCTGGCTACCCGACATCCTTCTAGCTCTTCTGTCGACATCCTGGCCTCTTTCCGCAGCCCCTTGCTCGACACCCCTCGACCAGCTTCCCATGAGCTCGGCGACAATTGGTCAGCCGCCGCCGCCGTCAGCTGGCGTCCAGCCGTCAACAGCGCTCCCGGCCCGTCCTCACGTACAGTCTCTGGCACGAGCAGGGCGGGGTCCTTCTTGACGGCGGCGCGTCAAGGCGTTTCCGCGTGCGCTCTCGGAAGATGGGCGTTTCCGGGCCGGTCGTCAGGACACCGCGCCGTCCTCCGTCAGTGCCAGCGCCAGGCATCCCCGCCAAACGGGTGCGGGTCCTGCGGGTCCGAGAGACCGGAAGTGGGGTCGAGGAGATCAGGTCCTGCAGGACCGGGATCTCCTGGTTTCAGGAGGTTCGGCTCTAAAGGTCCCAAGAGCTGGTAGATCGGGCCCTGGGGAGTATGCATTTGAGAGAAAAAGCCGTGGAGAATGCTGAGTTCAAAACAGTCGGTCCTGGATGACCTCAGGCCAGGGAACTCCCATCCGTAGAAGGCCCTGGATC